TGAAATAAAGAACGAGAGGCCAGTCTAGATGATGGAAGACAACCAGAGCTGCATCAGGCTGTCACAAAATTATGAGTGAACACACCAAACACATAAATGTGAGATACCACAGTACGAGACCTGACTGAGAAAAATGTCATTGAGATGGTCTACTGTCCCACCACAAAAATGGTAGCAGACATCCTGACCAAACCTCTTTCAAGAGATGGATCTGAGAAACTGTGTCGCAAGATGGATCTTCAAGAGGGCAGCTGCATGCAAGTTTGAGAAATGTTGATGCTTTTACAACTTCACATTTTTTCTGCAGAAGATGTGGCTGGAAGGGACCTAGCTGGGCTGAGGTGGCTGTCAATCTATCCTACACTAACTAGTTGTTCCCTGCCTCTGAATTCAAAGAGAGCCCCACCTCTCTGTTCTGGGGTCCTTTTCTCTCTCTTGTTGATTGGAGTCAGGCAGTCTGTTACTGGAAGCAGTTATGTTTATCACTTTGCTGTTTCATCTATTCAACTGTAAGTAATTAAACCACTTATTCTTTCTGTTAATGTCTCAGAGTGAGTTATTGAGATTGCGAGTGCCAGTTAATGAGAAAAGGGTGGACAAATCTGTGTAACTTGAAGCTATTCTGCTCTGTGAATCCATGCACTTTACTGCACAGCTAAATGAATTTAATAAAAACTCAGAACTCTGCAACACTAACCACATATTTCTGAGCATTCATACTGTTGTAGAAAAAAAAAGGAATATTGATAGTGCTTGGGTGTGTTTGTCTTCAGACTGGTTTTGTCAGCAAAACCCAGCATCTTGTTATTTCTTGTTATGACTTAAATAATACTCCACAGGAACCTTCCTGTTGTCTTAGTTTTATTTCATAGTCATTAATTATGAATTTTAATACAGCATTGTAGCACTGTCATTAGCAGAGCACATCTCAGTAAATATTTGGGAAAACTGTCAAATATTTTGTGCTGCATTTTTCAGTTGAAAGAGGGCATCTGTGTGCAGAAGGAAGATTTTGTTCATTTGTGCATATAATTTTTAGTGTTGCCTTTGTGTCTATTTAATAGAGTCTACTAACTTGTAATGAACGCAACAAGAGAGGTGACATGATATAGAGTAATAGGGAATGCTTCAGAACAGAGAGTCTTCAATACTCCTGTGTGACATGTCATTCATGCATTGTACTGTCCAGAAACCATAATACATAGTAATTTTGGTGTCAGTAACAATCCCTCCTCCAAAACCCTAGCATGTACCAGATTTAGAGGGCATGGTCATGGTGATTGCCTTGTCCTCTGCTGATCCTTGGAAGTGATGAGCTGTAGACAGGTAGCTCTGCCTCCCAAGCTTCCCCATATGAGGCAGGAAATAAAGATCCATGTGACACGCGCCTCATCCTACCCCATTGCAATCGCCTCTAGATGCTGGAAAAAGAAATAGAAAGGAAGAACAAAAAAACATTCAGCGGCCCATGCCACCAGAGAAAGAAGCAGTAGCAGCCGCTTGGTTACCTGAGCATTTTGTTCTTTGATTGCTGGGTTAAAGGAGAGGTCCTGAGATGCAAGGTATTAATTGTAGCTTTTGGGTTTGTCTGTTTCTGAGTGCAGATGACCTCAGAAGTGACCCTTCCATAACACGGACAAACCCAAAAGCTACACCTTGTGTCTTAGGAGCTCCCCTTGAAACCAGCAATTGAAGGAGAGTGAGGCTCTCAAGGAGCCAAGTGGCTCCCTTTCTTTCTTTGGCGGCAGGTGCTGCGGAATGGCTGCTGTTTCTTTCTTTTCCTTTTCCCAGTATCCAGGCGGATTGCAGTGGGGTTGGATGACATTTATTGGAACTTTTCTATTTCATTATTAGGATTTCTATGCTTGCTCCATACATATTTTAAAGAGAAAAAAGCATTTAGGCAACATTCAGGATGTAGCACTTTGTAAACCACTAGGTTTTGGGCAGGGGGAAAGGGTAGTAGAGAACAGGAAGAGAAGGAAGAGAAGGGGAACTGAAACTTCCTTTAAAACAAAGTAGTTATGTTGATTCTGACTTATGGCAACCCTTCCCAGGGGTTTTTAGGTATAAAATGCTCAGAGTTGGTTTGTCTTTCCCTTCTTCTGGTGGCACTCTAGGACAGTGCAGCTTGCCCCTGACTACCCAGATGGGCTCTTCTTCCAGGAGAAAATTAGGGAATTGAAATCTTGAGCAGATGCTCTAACTCTCTGAGCAAACTAGCCATCTAGCTTAAACTTTACCGCTTTCAAAATTGCCTACAAATGGTTTTTCGTCTATGGAATTAAACATCTCTTTTGCATGTTGCCTTTTTGTTCCCCATTGCCCCTTTCCCAAAGCAGATTTTCAAGCTGCGAAAAATAAGTTTGGGGAAAACAGTACAATTTTATGTTACCTGCATAATTTAGCCCACAGGATATGTTCTTATACATCCACCACTTTGTTCTTCTTCTTCTGCTGCTTTGCAAGAAATATAGCAAAAAGGAAAGGACTTAGGAAGTGGGTAAGACAGCCATGAAAGGGCTGCACGATCACAGCCTTTTGATCCTGAAGCAGCCATGAAAGGGCTTCAGGATCAAAGGGCTGCGATCATGCAGCCTTTACCTGAAGGGAGCCTTCCCTTCCTTTTTGCTAAGCCCTGTAGCTTTGCAAAAGGCAAGGAAAAGTGGCTATCAAAGGGAGCCCTTTGATCCCTGCTTTTCCCTTCCTTTTGCTAAGCTCCATGGCTTAACAAAATGAAAGGAAAAGCAGGGATGAAAATTTCTAATTTGGGGTTAGAAAAGGGGGGTTGTCTTATCAACGAAAAAATACAGTAAATATGGGAAATGAGAGGATGATGATTATGACGACGACAACGATGACGATGACGACGATGATGATGATGATGATGATTAATTCATCCAAAGTGATGTGGACAGATTATATTTACCACGAATAATTAGAGACCCTTGATTACTGCAAATACAGCAGGTGGTACAGGAGGAAAAAAGAAGCCTACATGATTATATCAGTAGAAGCAGAGAAAAAATACTTAAGGTATTGAAAATGGAGCACATTTTTAATACAAGAGAAACAAAGGCTTAATATAAGAAACAACAATTTGAAAATAAATTAAACAGTTGGAAAAATAAACCACTACATGGACAACACCTGAAAAATATTGATGGAAATCATGATCATAATTCAATATGGGACTGGCTAAAACTGGGGGCCCTTAAAAAAGAAACCGAAGGTTTGATTTCTGCTGTACAACAAACACTCCGAACCAACATGATGGAAAGCTAAGATTGAAGGAATTAGTGCTAACAGCAAATGTTGACTCTGCCAAGAAAAGATGAAACTGTGTCACATCTCATCTAGATTGTATAAACAGATTACAAAGTTAGACATGATAGAGTGGCAAAATTACTGCAATGGTCACTATGCAAAAAATATAACTTGCCAGCCTCCAAAAACCTGTGGGAACATCAGGTAGAGAAGGTGTCAGAAAATGAGGAAGTCAAGATTTTGTGGGATTTCCAGATCCATACTGATAGACACCCTAAACACAGCAGACATACATGGCAGTAACAGAATGAAGAAATGTCTGGATCATTGACATTGCAATTCCAGGGGATGCCAGAGTTGAAAACAAAGAATTGGAAAAACTAACAAAGTACAGAGACCTGGCAATCGAAACATCTTGCCTCTGGATGAAACACACCGCAGTGGTCCCTGTAGTCATTGGGAACAATATCAAGAAACTTCACACAGTATTATAAGCAGTTGAGATCTTAGAAATCACATAATAAGAGCTGCAAAAAAATGGCAATATTAGGAACAGCATACATACTATACATACTAA